TCTGTGTGTGTGTGTGTGTGTGTGTGTGTGTGTGTGTGTGTGTGTGTGTGTGTGTGTGTGTGTGTGTGTGTTACATCCTGCGCTTGCAACAAGCTGCATGGGCCACTTCAGGCCGAAAGCCTGAAAACAAGGGCCTACAGGCCCCGTGTCGTTTCAGCCTGGAAGCCTGAAAACAAGGGCCTACAGGCCCTGTGTCGTTTCAGCCTAAATCAGGGCCTTTCCGGCCCTGAGTCTTTTCAGCCTGAAACTGAGGGCCATTTTCAGGCCCTCATGAGTTCGACCTGCCCTGAAACTCACGCTATTCTGGGCCTGTTTTCAAGACAACCCCTGGTTGAGCTTCAACACCAGGGTCTGGCACGTTTCGGCATTGGAAAGAGCAGCCTCCTGGACGAGCCAGCACTATATAGGACTGGCCAGCCCTGCAGGCTGAAGGTAGTTCCTAGGTACTTCCCAGGCCCTTCACGTGCAGTTCAGGAGGCAGGAGGTAGTCTTCAGGATTCGGCATCAGCACTCTGGAAGAGCGCTGCAGGCGTAGTAGTAGCGCTAGCAGTAGTCTTCAGCGCTGGGCACTGGTAGCGTCAGCAGTAGTCTTCAGCGGTGGGCGCTAGTAGGAGCTCGAGTAGTACTGGAGAGAGAGAGAGATTGGGCGGAGACCTGGGTGACTTACCTGCAGTGCCATAGCTCCAGCTTCGTCTTCGAGGTACCTGCAGCACAGTGCCATCTTCACAGGTTAGTACCTGGCACACGAGAGAGAGAGAGTTCTTCTTCTTCCTCTTCTCAGTCCACCATCTCACTCTCACTCTCTCGCTATCTGACTTCACTGCATCAGCAGACTATGAGCGAGCGGGCTTGGTGACATTTGGATCCAGACTCGACATTGGACTTCAGACATTTGACGAGGGGTTATCTGGGACTTGTAACGAAGACTTGGTGTTGACAACATTCCCATCTTTCTCCCCCCCTTCTTCGTCTGATCCCCTGCTCTTCGTCTGTGTATGGTCTGGACCTGGCGCGTTCTTCCTGTGTGTAGTGCCAGGCCCCTTCACACCTTGTGATGAGAATGATGTATGTTTGGTCTGTACTGCGACATTGATTGGGCTAGTCATTGGTATTCTAGCATTCTACTGCACTGTCTTACGCTGCGTGAAAGAGGTCAGTCCCGGTCAGGTCAGGACTTGTATCTAAGTCTTCCACTGCGCTATAAAGCACCATTTTTGTATGTATCCGGATGTACGCTGCTTGTTGATATTTCACTTGCACTGCATTGTCCATTCAGTCCTTTTCATCACATTGCGGATCCTCGGTTATATATGTACATCGCCCAACTGGGCATGTAACAGTTGGTATCGGAGCACCGCATGTGAATCAGGACAACCTGATCTGACACGTGTGCGGGGACTAAGTAGCTGATTAGTCTTGAGTGATTGATTAGAGCACACAAGTTAGCCCCCAAAATGAAACGGTATTCACCAGTTCGCAGTAGCGAATGCAGATCCCAGGGCTCGATCCCTAGTTCCCCATCTTACCTGTGTACAGTATTGATGTCAACTCGTAGATTTGAACCTGTGACCTGTAGGATCGCCAGTGGTAGGTAAGTTTTCGTAGGTCACCACGTAGAAGAGATTCGAACTGTAGACCTGTAGGGTAGGAGTCTAGACAGTTCTAAGGTCGTAGCTGTAGACTGCCTGAAGGGTCAAGGTCGTAGCCGCTACTTACCTGAAAGGGCAAAGTCGTAGCTGCTACAGTACCGAAGGGCCAGCGTAGAGGTTTCTAGAACTGGCCTTTCGGAGTTGGCCTGCGTTCAGCAGAGGCAAGTGGTCAAGTGGTGGTAGTCCACCTAGCCCAGTCAGCAGTCCCAGGTAGCCCAGTCCGGTCCCGTCAAGCAAGTACCGTCTGGGACTGTGCACATCGTGGGCCAAGGGATACAGGCCGGACCAACGCAGCGCCGAAGTATAAATCAAGAGGCTGCGTCCAGCCATTCATTCATTCCTGCGGATGCCATGCGGAAGCGCTGCCTCAGCAGCTTGTGCGAGGAGGTTTGCAGTGCGCCCGAAGACGAAGTGGGCAGTGAAGTGTAGTATAGCGATAGGGTAGTGGCAGCTAGCGCTGCCATAGCTGTAGTACAAGGTGTGTGTGTGTTGTGTATGAACAGTGAGTGTCGCGTGTGGGACATCCAGGGTGATCCAGAGTGCGAACAGCGTGTTGTGTGGGCGCAGAGCCGCCATAGCCAGTTGAAGAGAACTCTTATCCGGTTACGATATCTTTGAGTACTGTGTGGGCGCATGTCGCCAGTTTGTTGTATCGCTGTTTGCACGCAAGACAAGTGTGAATAAGTCGAGTCTGATTGCACTGGTATCAGAGCAGGTACCCGCTGTTCCACGCGCGCGATATGTGCAGGGCAGATGTGCCATAGCTGAAGTGGCCGCCGGAGGAGGCAGTCCGCCATAGCGGACCTCGAGGTGGAAGAAGCCGCTGCGCACCTGCATCAAGAAGACCACGACGAAGAAGA